GCTCCAGGGACTTTGCTGAGCGAAGCCCCGCGCTCGCCCCGCGCCTTCCCGCTCCCCTGCCCTGCACCTGCGCCGCGCTCCAGCTCTCCCGGGCTCGCACGTGGGCGGCGCCTCTCTGAGGTGAGGCCGGGCATGGCAAAGCATCACACACACACACACACTTCGCACCTTGGTCCTCGCCGGGCCAACGTGGGACGTTTCTCTCCGCCTCCCTCGTTACACGCATGAGTATGCAGAGTTGGGAGCTTGGGAGTATGCAGAGTTGGGAGCTTAGTGAACAAGGCGGACCAGGGCAAATGACATTCAGCATGGCATCGGCAGAATGAGATGAAATACTCTTTGGACTAGAGTTAATCGTTTTTAACTGACGGGCTGCTGATTATGCTTTGTCTTGTTCCACACCAAATGCAAACCACTGATTTGTATCGTCTTGTCTGAGTCTGTATTCTGACTCGTCAACACCAGCTGTATCTCTAGCTTCATCTTCTCTTACTTCAAAAAGCTGTTCCTCCTTCTTGCTTCAAAAAATCAAAACCCTTTTCTTGATGCTATTTTTAGTCCAAGTTACCAACCAGTTTCCTTCTAACCTGGTTTCTTTCGAGGACCTACGCTTTATGCTGCTTGTTCTTAAGTTTTTAGTGCTAGGCTCTGCTGTCTTTGCTCAGGACATTCTACTCAGACAGCCTTTTTGGAAGGAATTAATGATTGGCTTGTGGTTCAATCCAAAGGTCTTGCTTCTTCTCTTCTCGTCCTTGACTTATCAGCTAGTTTTGAACCTTTGGATCATTCTTTATCAACTTGGCATTCATAGGTTTTCTGACTCTGCACTCCTTACTGTCTGCGAGCAGTCTTTTATGGTATCTCTGAGATAGTCTTTATACCACTCTTTGAGTCCTGCATCCTTTTCTCCGTACAACTTACCTGCCAAGTGACATTTAAAATGTTTGCAGTCTACTGTATCACTCTGTAGTGGTGATACTCTGTCATATATTTCACAGTCTTGTATCTTGTCCCCACTCCTTTTTGGATGAAAGCCAAGTATCAAATAAGTCTGTCTGGAACAGAAATCATTACCTTTTAATTGTTATATGTAGGGCTCAGCTTTGGAGTCTTTGCTCTCAGTGAATAGCATTTACTCCCAAAAGTAAACCTGACTTACTCAACTAGGAAATGCAAATCATAGAATCATAGAAGTCGGGTCGGAAGGGACCTTGTAGATCTTCAAGTCCGACCCCCTGCCTGGGCGGGAGAAAAGACTGGACTCAAATGAGTCCAGCCAGGTAGGCATCCAGCCTCTTCTTAAAGACCCCCAGGGTAGGAGCCCGCACC